CCAATCAAATCAACCCTCTTTCCCTAAATAAAACTTTCCTAATTAGTTCTCCCTTAATTCCTCCTTACATAATGAATAACAGATCCTCCAGAACCCACAAGGACGTATCAATACTCCCTCCCCCCCCCCCCCCCCCCCCTCTCTTTCTCCCCCCCCCCTCTCTCTCTCCAAAAGACACATATTGTCCTCAAGGTGGAAAGAATGGGATCCGACTCCTGATCATCTCATATGGCTCCCATGTGACTTCATCCGTCTTTCTCGATAGTGCATCCACAAACTTGTTCTCCAGTCTTGGGTAATACTGGATCTCAAAATCATATCCAAGTAACTTGGATAACCACCTATGATGCTCCTCAGTCATCATCTTTTACTTCAGTCAAAACTTTAGACTCCTCTGGTTTGTCCTAATGATAAAGTGTCGCTCCAACAAATAGGGTCGCCGCACTTTTAAATGACTAAGACAATTGCCATCAACTTGCTCATATGCAGACTTGAGCCTCGCCCTGGTCGTGAGCACCTGGCTGAAATAGGCAACGGGCCAATGATCATGCATGAGTACTGCCCCTAGTCAGTTTTTTAATGTATCCATCTCCAGCACAAAGGTCTACTGAAGTCAAAAAATGATAATACTGACACGTTGGTCATGGCTTTCTCAAGCTGCTCGAAAGCCTGTGTTGTTGCTTACCCTCAACTAAAATTGTCCTTCTTCAGCTACCCCATCCATGGTCATGTTATCATCTCATACCCTCGCACAAACTTTCAGTAATACCCGGTGAGACCTAAGAAACCTCTCGACTCCTTCAGGCTCTTTGGTAAAGGTCAATCCAACATAGCCTCAATCTTAGATTGGTTTGATATTACCCTTGCTCTGCTAACCACATGTCATAGGTAATCCACCTGTGACTGCGCAAGGGGACATTTCTTCATATTGACATACAGTCAGTGCTCCCTCAAAATAAATAGTACAGTCGTTAGATAACCCACATGCTTTGCCTCTGTACGACCGTAGATTATGATGTTGTCAAAGAAGACTAAGACAAATTTCCTAAGGTATTGTTAAATAACCCAGTTCATGAGGAACTGAAAAGTGACTGGAGCATTGGTAAGGCCGAAAGACATCACCAAAAACTATAGTAACCCTCATATGTCCTGAAGGCTATATTGTGCAAATCCCCCAACTTCATTTTGATTTGGTGCTACCCCGACTTTAGGTCAATCTTCGAGAAGATGACCGCTCAAAACAGCTCATCCAAGAACTCATCAATCATGGGATAGGAAACTTATCCAACACAATTTACTTGTTTAGGCCTTCTAATCCACGCAAAACCTCCAACTATCATCCTTCTTTTTCACCAGTAGAACTGGGCTGGAAAAGGGGCTCATAATGGGACTAATAAGCCCTGCCTCAAGCATCTCTTTGATGAGCCTCTCTATCTCATCCTTCTGAATCAATGGGTACCGGTACGATCAAACACTGATAGGAGAAGCTCCCATTTTGAAAATAATGGCATGCTAGAGCTCCCTGGGTGGCGATAATCTGCTAGGCTATTGAAAAACCATAGGAAACTGATGCAGAAGTTGTTGTACACACTCAGGGACCTAGACCGACTTTGAATCTCAGACCTCCTATAGGCTCTGTAGCTCCATCAAGTAATCCAGCCCTGCTCCCTATATCGCCTTGACCATGAATTTGAGTGAAATCATGATTTTGCACAGGCTGGAATCTCCTCGCAAAACCACCCTCTTCCCCTCCACCTGGATATCCATGTTCAAAGGTTTTCAATCCACCTTCGTCTCCCTGATTGTATGTAACTACTTCATCCCTAGGATCACATCAGTGCTCCACAAATCCAAGGAAAGAAAATCCTCCACTATATGCATACCATGGACTGTCAGCACAACTCCTACAGATCCCCCTACACCTCTCCACCTTCCATGTCCCCATCATGACTCAAAAGCTTCATGTGTCCACCAACTTCAATCCTAACTGATCCACAACTAAATTTGACATGAAGTTGTGAATAGCCCCGCTATCCACCAAGACCATCATTGACCTCTCCCTAATCTATCCCCACACTTTCATGGTGTGATTTGGAGTAAATCACGCCACTAAATTAAGGGACACTTTAGCCATATCAAGGTGTATGTGCTCTCCTCCCACTTTTGATTTCTATTCCAACTCCTTGATGTCGATCTCTTCCTCATCACAAATCATAAGGACCTGGTGTTTGCGGTTCTTACACCGATGGCCTGCTGTATACTTCTCATCGCATCAGAAGCACAAACCATCACTCTAATATAGTTGAAAACTTCTCCATCCTGAATTTGATTTGCTCCACTTAGCCTTCCAAAGAATCTACCTTCTTTGGCCATCTCTACAAAATCTCGCTCTGATACCAGTTTGATGCATGTTGGAAGTAAAAGCAACAAGTAGATAAAAAAGAAAAATGTAGGAACCAAATAGTAGGGCTGATTTTTTATTATTTTTTCAACAAATAATAAAAAATACAATTGATCTATTATTCGAGAGGTAGATCAGCTCTTCCACAAACCCTAGGTGTCATTAGAAAAATCCCCAAAGAAAAACTACAACAAACACAATCACGTAATGAAAATAAAACCACCCAATTAACCCTAATATAAACATTCCTACTTCCCTCCCAAATTTGAATTCAAAGCAACCATCTTTTCCTAAGTAAATATTTTCTAATTCTGTCATAATCAAATCAACAATCTTTCCCTAAATAAACCTTTCATAATTCCATCTCAATCAAATCAATCATCTTTCCCTGAATACATCTTTTTTAATTTCCACCCAATCAAATCAGTCCTCTTTCCCTAAATAAACCTTTCCTAATTAGTTCCCCCTTAATTTCTCCTCCTTAAATATCGAATAATTTATCCCTGGGCCCCACAAGGGCGTATCAAATTTCAAGAAGTTATGATTCTAAACATCTCTTGAATTGAGATGTTTACAAAGGACAATTAAAAAGAAGTATCTTATCTATACTATTTTTAGATTGCGTAATTCTTATACATAGGGTTATGAATGAGAGGTTAGAATATCATCATCATGATCATAGTTATCCTATCCCAACTATTTGGGATCAGCTTTATGAATCTTTATTTTCCATTCACTCAAGGAAAACTAACTTAAAGATGAAATTTTTAAAAGATTGGTAGAACAAAGATGAACTATATCATATGCAAAATTTAGTGGATCCTAAATTAATAGTTATCAACCAATATTATTAAGAAATTAAGTGGTACCAAATATATTGTAAGGTAGTATCTTGGATTTTCTATTGAGAAGAATGGAGATATGTATGCACATTTAGTTTAAGAGCCAATTCTTGATAGTTTAAAATGAAGAACTAGGTCATGAGTATATTTCAATAATAGAATATCATGTAGACTTATGCATCTTATAAAGCTACAACTGCACCATCTATTCTACATCTATGAAGATGTTCGTCAACAAAAAAGTCACTAATCACTAATGCGAGCATGTCAGAAATACAATTTTTTAGAGGGATGTGTCATAAAACTAGAAATGGAATATTAAGACATTATTACATTAGAGAGATGATGGGAGTAGCGCAATTTGTGAAAACTAGACTTTTGATTTGGGCATGACAAAAAAAGATTGCAAAAGATGCACCAACAAGATGAGTTGATAAAATAACTTTTGAATTTTATGAAGAAAAAGAGATAGACCATGGTGGCATATATGGTTAGAAGTTATAAAGAAGATTGTACATAGTAGAATTAACACGTCATTGAACACTTAACAAGAGTTGATTGAGAATGAGGATCTCCAAATAGTTAGGATAACATCAATGAGGATGCTAATATGATAATAAATGATGATATCTTTGACAATGAACAGTTGAGAAGATAGCATTATATCTTTATATGTCTATATACCAAAAAAAAAAAGAGGAAACTTTGAAACTGAAATAATCAGATATTAAACTGCAAGTATAAAGGCTTCAATCGATTCATTATTACAATATGAAAAACCCATTGTAGAATTTCCAATGTTCCCCTTTCACTCCCCAATCTCCAATATTCACAAAGCAATATTCTCGAACTATAGGACCAATAAAAATAGAGCATACCAAATAAAATAATAAAGGAACTCTTGGAACTATACTTCTATATGGTGTTTTAGCAGAGACCAATATGACTTTTTCAAAGCCAGTGAAGAATAGGTCTGTTAAATCAGAGATGGTGTAGAAATGAAAGAAAGCACATGATGTGGAGTGGAGCCTTCAAGCAATTCATTATTGCATGAAATTTCTTCTACATTTTAGCGTTAGCTACTGGTGTTAGAATTAGGAGTGGCCAACCGAAGCCAAACCCAATGCCATCTAGCTTCCTTCTCTACCTCAAAGAAATGCATCTCTTCCATAGAATCAATCCATCCCAGAGCACAACATGGAACGGAGCTTGAATGTCCTTAATAGAATGATTCAAATTTATCATTCTTGGCTCAAGCAAGTGTTCAAAGAAATATGCTGTGCTAAAGCAACCAAGTAATAAAATCTCCAGTACTATGTGCAATAAAAATCTCAGTAGCATATACCAGCTTTGATAATAATCAACAATGAAACTTTCGTTGAAACTGTTTGAAATGGCCTAAACCCATGCAAATGATCGAAAATAGCATTACACGAGTTCATAACTTAATAGGAGTTGCATCAGATGGAAGTTTTAAGTACAAATAGAAAAGGGTGGGACGGTGAGGTTTCTTGGCACATGCATGACTAGTACACATAATCAGTTAAACTTCCATCCCTGCATATATCACTGCTGAGAAAAATGAACATAAAACGAAATATGTGCAAAATTTTAGAAAATTAGCTGTCCTAGTAACGTTTATAAAACAGCTATGCATCAAATTTTTAGAAAGAAATCTTTCTAAACCCAATGCAGGTATATAGATTGTTGGATGACGTAAAGGAGAAAACAACAGAAATCATAGCGTCAGATATTACCAATGCCTCAAGCTGTCCAGTATGAGCTCCATGACCACGGGATGGTTACAGTTCAGTGTGTTTCCTGGACCGCAACAAAAGAAACCAAGCAATAGGTTAAGAACACCAGTCCAATGCAGAAAAAGCAAAGAACACACACCAGCTAAGCAGAACTATCCAACTTTTGTGGCTTGAGACATGAATTCTTCTTTGCCAATCATTCTTATATTGTAGCAATGCGAGGAAGGAGAACAAAAAAGGATTGAAACAAATGAAATAAGGCGTAGAGAAATAAGCTTACTTGTGGTAATGATTGATGAAAGACAATTACTCGGCTTATTGTTTACTGGCAACAAATCAGGTTGATAGAGATAAAATTTGATTAGCTTAGCTACAACAGATAACCCACATAATCTGTGAAGCGAGCGAGCAAAGAACATTGGATTTATATGTAGAAATTTATGAAATGAAAAACTACGAGGTCTAGCTGAATCGAAATAGCTTTAACTACTAATAGAAGACCTATTGAAAACCACCCTTTTCTAGACTCGGAGAAGGTGTTATAAGGAAGAAGTAAATACAAAGCAAGTGAAAGTGGGCTATTACTGGTATCCTTGGAAACGAATGAAATGACATCAAAAGGCCATGGAGGTTACTACGATTTTCCACCTAGAGGTGATAAGGTAATGGAGGAGGAAACGAAAAATGATCACGGAGAAAGGCAAGGCGACCTTAAATGATCTAATAAGATGCCACAAAAGATAGTCAGGTTGATCCTCCTCTTAGGAAAGCAACGTGGTATAGGGCAATATGCGAGGATGCACTGCAAGGTCAAAGAAATCACTAAGAATAGTTGGGATGATCCTCATCCTTAGATGAAGGTAGCATGACCTTCAGAAGATAGACAAGGCAGCACATGAAGATCGGCACTACCTTAGGGCATCATATGTGGCAAAGCTAGAAGGCCCAGGAGTCCACTGATGGATAGGATGATCCCACTCCTAAAGGTGAAGAAGGCAAGCAAAGCAGCTTAGGAAGGATGGGACGTGGCTAAGGCAACAAAGATAATCCTCATACATGAGTAAAGGATGGCAATACATAAAAGTGATGTAAGAGGGTTGTGGAGGAAACAAAGGGAAGTCGGGATGATCCTCCTAGATGTGTAGATAGCATGACCAAAAGAAAACAGCCAAGGCAATGCAAGAAGGTCATGGAGGTGATTGAGAGCAAAACAAATAACTCTCTATATGGACTTGGAGACTACAAAACCAAAAGGCAATGAAAAAGGCAACATAAGACAATTATAGATGAAACTGAGGGTAATTAGTACGACCATTATTATAGTGGTAGAAATAAAGAACAAAATAAGGCATATGATACGTACTTCATAAGGCAGTTAAATCTCCAAGATTCTCCTACAATCTTGAAGTTTAGAATGTCCATAAATAAGTATAATTGTGATTTATTTATAGATTTTTTTAAGGGTATTTCAAACTTTATCCAGATTATTCTAAAAATGTTTTAGTCATATCAACAACTCATGCGAGCAAAAAATATAGGGAGCCTATATCTCTTGATCACAAAAGACACGACGGACTTCTTCGGACGAAATTGACTAAGAACGAGAGAAGTGGGACGAACAAACTCTTACATTTCAAATAAAAAGAAATAAAAAAAGAAATTAAAAACACAAACTCGACTCGAGACAAAATGACGACACCCTAAAGTTGCTGCACTTGGAGAAGAAAGATACAGGTGGAGTGGCACTTGCGGAGAGACGAAAGAGGTTAGAAGCCCGAGAAGAAAGGGTGGAAAGAGCCCGCAGGATTTCCGGAGGGGATGAGAAAGAAGGGTGGAAAGAGCCCGCAGGATTTCCAAGCAACCCGCAGGTGATCGAAGACCAAAAGACACTAACATTAAATTCCCATAGGAATTTTAAACAACACAATTAATTAAAACACTAATGCTTTGCATGAAAAAACACACCCAAGTCAAGGAACCGAAGAGGCAACCACGGGAGACGAGGAAGCCGCACGGAACCAATGGGCCATGGCCTCGGGAAAGAGCCCAGGCACAGGAAAACCAGCGGCCGGCCGGAATCCCATGGGGTGAGAGCAATAAAACCATGGTGGAATTCAAGGAGCCACACATGGGAAGACTAAACAACTATCTTGGGATTCCAAAAGCCCTTTTTGGAAACCCAAGAGACACCATAAAAAGAAACATTAAAAATTAAATAACATTTAATAAAAAGTAAGATAATAAATGAACTAAAATGTTAGCTCATAATGAGCTAACCCTTAGTTCAATAAATGAACTAAAGTCCAGCTCATAAATGAACTAAAAGTTCAGCTTAAATATGATAAACTACTAGACTCATGGGAAGCCAAAATTTGATTTATTTTGGACTAATGTTGACCCCCCCTTTGTCTACATCAACAACAAATAGCATAGATCTCAATTGACCGAGTGATCCACCCTCAGGTTGGCTCGAACAACTTGCCCATGGCTCGAGTGACCAACTAATAACAAGTAAATATTATGGCCAATAATATCTCTAATTGATAAATAAAACATACCATTTGTAAATATTACATCACAAATCCAATGAAGTTGATTGATAAAAAATTAGATGGTCAAATTGATGGCAACAATTTAGAAAAATTTCAAGGATCAAACTTAGGGTCACCAAAACTGATGACAACAGGTTATCATTTTTGCGCCACAATATTAAATCTCTTTGTGTAATCTTTTGTCGCTCAAAAATAGAGATCTATAAAGGAATTGCATGAATCCTAGAAGTGTAAACTTCTAGAATGAACTAGACTAAAATGAATGCAATAAATCAAATAGCGTCGCCACACTGCTCCTATGGACACTGCAAGAGGGCAATATGCCATACCCCCAGGTAATCGATAATGACAACAGCAAAGGAATCAACATCGCACTCTCGATCATGTGTTGTCACCAGTAAAATAGTTTCGAGGTAATCGTCCTGATTGGGCCAACCATTCATCATTGGTTTGCCTTATATAGGCAACTCAATAGTCTAATTTAGGATTTTTTGTAATTGTTGGGATCATTGGACTAGACGGTCTTAATGGAAATGTTTTCGCAAAATTTAGAGTTCATTCGACTTCAAAATTAACTTTTTGAAGTCAAATTTAATGCAAGTTTAACACTCTTAAGTTGCTTTCAGATCCCTACCTTGAAGTAACAAATGATTACATGTGGTTTTTACCTTCACCAATGGGTGCATATGTTAATGACTGCTTTCCTATACTTGATTACTACATTAAAGCTGCATATCTTTACAGGCGTCAATGGCGTCAATGCTCACTAAATTGTTATTCTGGTTGTTCTTAGAGGGAAGGGCAAGAATAAAGTTCAGCCCGAGTAGTGACAGATTCAGTAAACTAAGATATTGATGACCATACAAACTGTGGAAGGATGTGAAGATGAGATTCTCTAGGAAGCTACTAGTGATTTTATCATACAAGATCTCTATCAAACACAATCATGTTTGGACATCAACATGAACATCCTCTAGGAAGTATAATCTAGACAAGATTCTTCACTAATGGTATGATGGATGGTTGGTAAATTAAAATCAAGAGCCACATTGGTGTTCTTGTCATAGCTTTATATGAAGAAGACTTGCCCAAATTAGCCCAAGTCCTTTGGGGAAATTGGCCCAAGGCTTTGGGGGGGGGGGGGGGTTCAAATATTGTAAATAATATTTTGAGTGATTATTGGCTTCACAAATCACCCATTAGTGATGTGAGGTGAATGCAGCAACTTCAATGATATCCCCAACTTCAATGATGTGATGTGATGGTAAAAGGGTTATTTGGATGGTAATAAAACAAATATTCAAGGTTTGGAAGTGTTGAAACCTCTACACTATCAAAAGTAAAGTTTTCCATGGAGAAAAATGGGTAAGAATTCCAACTCAAAGGTTTGTGATGTTAAAAAGTTATGATATTTTTAATGCGGTTTTTCACTACAAAAAATTGTCTCTTTGCTAAGATATCGTAGGATTGTTGGAAGGTTAGGCCTTTTGAAGGTTATGAAGGATGTAGGGGAATATTTGGGAGAAAATTTGAAGAGGAAGAATATATTTGGGAGGTGAGGGAAGCTATACTTGGGCCTAAGTGGTAGAGACAAAAATTGTGTTGGGAGAGAGGATAAATAAGGGTGAGAAAAGATGACTAAGGACTCACCAAAAACCTTAGGGATCAGCTATCAAGCTTCACCAAGAGCAGAGCAGCTACTAGATTTTTCACAAAAAATTCACAAGCAAAAAACAATTTTATTCTATGAATAAAAAATTATAGAGCAAAGTCTTATTTAAAGATCTTTTTCAAGCCTAGACAATTTTAAAAAGCCTTAGGAGCTAATAAAATATTATTAGCTTGATTGATGACTTGTCTTGATATAAGAAAATAAAATAAAGTTAAAGCATATAAATACATGAAAATTTGGATTGGCCAAATAAGACAAGCATAGTGGCCTTAAAAGTAAGCAAATTATGAAGATTTTTTTACTTATTGATTGATATGACCCACCTAACTACCAATCATGGGACCTTAATTTAAACTTCTTAATTAATCTCCCATGATATTAAAATGACAACGAGTCATCCATAGGCGTGCATGAAGAGTTACACATAATGAATGGCCCAAATTTTCACACAGAACCTTAGCTTATAGCCTCGTCTTTATACTTTGCCTTAGTGTTGCATCGGCTCCATCGAATCTCAAAGATATCTTCCCAATAGAATTATAGTTCGTATGCTCATCAATAATACCTAGGGTAAGCTTCTCTACATCTTTTTTGGCCATCCAAGTGTCCTCAAAAATATGTTGATTTTTCCATCAGACCGAGAATATAGGTGATGCATCTGTTAATGGGGAGAATTCTTCTAAAATGAAGCCATAAATATCAAGGAATTGTTTGGTACAAGAACATAAAAAAATTAGACTTATGTCACCAGCAATATGAATATCTTTCTATTATTGAAGCTACATTTACTAATAAAGCAGTATATTCTCAATAGTAAAAATGAGACTTATATACATATCA